TTTAAATCAAAATATGGCTGAACCGTTCTAAATCATTTGCCATCCAGAGTTCATTATGGCTTGGATCAGTTAATTAATATCTAATTAATAATTTAGAAAACATTTCAGGCCTAAACAAAGACTTGCAATAGGCAGATTTATGTATGTTTAACGATGAATTAAAACAAGATAGTCGTATATATGGGTATCGCAAATATAATTATAGGGAATCTCTATCCACTGGTGCAATGGCGTACTTAAAAGAAATTCCCACACAAAACTATTTCTCGTGTGGCTATGACATATTATGTGATTCCAATCGATAATTTTCATCCATTTTTGTATGGATGTGTCACATTTTAACACTGTATATATATACTCCGTTTTTAATATTATGCATATATATATATTATTTATGGAGAGGGGTGTAATTAGGCTTAGCATGTTCTCAAATAATATTAGATACTCTGCAACAAGTTTTTGTTTAAACAAGAGAGAAAGAAAAATGGGGTTTAACGTCCACTTGACACAAACTAGGTTATTTCGGGACTAACATATGGTTCAATTTTATTTCAATAAAACCGGTGGACCCGGAGAAAACCCACGAGGTTTGACAAGCGACCCTACTCCTTGTCACGTACAGCCGGGGAATCGAAACCAAGCCAGCCGACGCAATGACAGACCTTAAGATACATCGCGCGCACTAACCATTCGGCCATCCAACCTCCCTTATTTAAAAGAGCACCTTTAGTATTTATCCAAAGACAGCAATCATCGACAATTTGCGACTAGATGTTGCGCTCCGAAGACAACACTCTGCTAAGCTAAGGAGACATTTTTGCCTTCCTAGCCTATTTGGGTTTTCTATGGGACCTCTCAAATTACGCGCTCAAGCAAAATATTATAATGTTGATATAACTATTGTGTTAGTCCCAATATCACTTAACGTGTGTTAAAATGGATGCAATACCTCTCTTCATGTCAGTTTGTTTGCCATTATTCTAAAACCCACAACATTTCACGACTTCTGCAAATATCGGGAAACCCATTTAGATAACTTTTTAAACCCTCAAGTGATAGTGGCTCTACTCACCCATGGAACTTCCTGATTTTATCACCGCTACCATAAGCAGAAACGCTGCAATATGTATACTCATCTTGACGGTAGACCAGTACAGGAGCTCACCGTATTGCGATATGCGTATATTTGGATCACCGAGGGACCTTTATATACCACGAGACTGATTTGTGTTTTTATCCACCTATTTCATATTGAATAGCCAGTGAAATTCGGTATCGAGTGCACAAAATGGGAGAGAACGCGCATTCTCATATTTACATGATAATACACAAAGATCTAGATATAATAATAATCGTAAACAAGCATGTTTAAAGATCATATACAGCAACATCAATCAATGGGATAAAACGATGAGTACTGTTGACCAGAATTGTGACGAGCACCAGATGTCCTTCGCGATGGTTTATGTCAAGTTCCTACTTGTCAGGGGTTGCTGACAGGTCGGGTATTGACTTGTCGTTCAGGTTGGAAGTAAATATATTGGTATGCGTGTAGATATGTTATTTACACTTATCCAACCATTTTCTTCTCAGGTGAATACTAACAATTATAGTCTGGGGGGTATTAGCCGTCAAGATCTTAGAACATATTTAATAAACAGTAACGACTGCAGAAGACACTTCACTGCTCCTATACGACTCAAATACCATGCCACTATACATGATTATACATGAAGGATAGGAAACCTCTAACATAATCCTTAAGAACATAATCAGCATTCAGAATTACAGGTTTTCTGGATAAAACGTACCGCAGTTGTCGGTCGCGTGTATGCGGTTATACATACCGTAAAACTAGCCCTTTGTATCTTCATGAATACACACTGGTAAGCTTATACCGTTGACTAATGAACCTGGGCCCTGTTTCACAAAAATTTAAATCTCCTTAAAATCGTCTTAAACTAAAATTCCATCCTAACTTAAGATAGATGCGTTTCACAAAATAATTTTAAGCATTTTAGATAAAATCGACTAAAATAATATTGTAAGTTAAAATTGTATCTTAACTTAAAATTGTGGCGTTTCAAAAAACTATTTTAGGGACAATTTTAACTAAAATCAATTTTAAGTTAGGACAGCCGTCACCCTCTCCTAACTTAAAATCACGACATTAACAAACAAACATCGATTAGGGCTACGTTGTTAGATATATCGAGACATATAGATATATTTGTAATAATGATATTGTCAATGGCCCGGGTTATATAATATAAACATACTATCATTCCCAAAAATAATTTACATTCAATTTTATTTTTCATTGCATGGGAAATATAGCTGCGACCCACCCGTTTATTTTATTGTAAGGCAATATAAGCAATTAGATGACGACCCAAGCTATAACCCCCAAGAACAAAAAACCCCTCAAAACCCCAGTAAAAAAACAACTCTTTTTTTACTATTATATATATTACCATATGATTCAAGTATAAATTATACTATTTTCAAATAATTAATAGACAAAAAAAAACTAAAAAGAACATCTAAACTCACTTCATATATAATGTCTATAAAAACAATTGTGGGCCTACAATTATTTACAATCAGAGAGAGAGAGAGAGGAGAGAGGGAGAGAGAGAGAGAGAGAGTTAACGTCCACTAGACACAAACTAGGTAATTTCGGGATTAACACATTCTTCACTTTTATTTCAATAATTCACTTGCGAGTATGAGTCTTTAGTAGTGGGAGGCAACCGGGGGACTCGGGAAAAAACACGATGTTGGACGGGCAACCCTACTCCCTGTAACGTTGGAATCGTAACCCCGTCAGTCCTATAATACTAGACACGCCGTATGCAAAGTATTTATGGTTTTGGGGTTATGATGATCTATATAGAAGCCAAGGGTATTTTATATTGGGAAAAATCATTTTAATTTAGTAAGATACATAGGCATTACCCAAAAAGGAGTGTGGCACTTTGGCATTTACAAAGTAGTATTGAAAGGGTCTATGGGACTGACATTTCAAATCTAGGCATCGGAACATTGGCTATTTCGTGTATTAGTTTAAAAGTTGTTAAATACTTTTAAAATTCGACAATACTTTAGTCTAGATAAATCGTTTGAGTCAGAAATATCACAAGTTTGTGAAAATTTTCAATACTTTCTGTTAACCAAAATACCATAAAACTACGAAATTCAAGCAATTTAGTTTATCGATACGCATTATTTCCACTGAAGCCGACGGGTAAATCAAACCGCAAGATCACGAAAGCGATATGCATGTTCAAGGCCAACCAACTGATACATTTCAAAACGAATAATACGCAATGAACTTATTTATTGTATGTCACTACGACTATCTGACAATGTGCACACATTGTTACAGCGTATGATACTCTCCTCATTGGTATTGTAACAATTAGTTCAACATGGCAACAGTTTTCAGTTCCGAAGCGTTTATGCTTACACCCTAAGTGCCCTCCCCGGAATTGTGCCTTGCGCGGGTGCAGGCAATTTTAACTAAAATCTATTAAAATTGCATTTTAAGTTACAATCGATCTTCGTGAAACGCATAAAATAAAAATTTCATTTTGATTTTAGTTAAAATCTTTTTTAGTGATTTTAGTTTAAATTTTTGTGAAACAGGGCCCAGGACCTTATAATAATGATTTTTATTGTCATTAAATAATACAAGTGATCATTATTCTAAACTAATGTCAGCTATAAAAAAAACGTCACTATTGGTGTAAAAGCGTGACTGATTACAACAACTATCACTATTGAACACACAAACCTAGACAATAGTGGCGTATATCATTCAATAATCACGGTTTTAACACCTTTTTGACATAACACCTACTTGATGATTACATCCAGATAAGAATATGGCGTCTCCGTTTGACATGACTTCGGGTACCTTGTTAGAAGTGGCACTGAAACGCATTATGAATGGTAAAATGTTTAGTTTGTCTTAAATATTGGATATCAGAAGCCCATCACTTCCCGGTAAGATCATAACATGAATTTTGTTATAAATTAACAAATAATTCGTGTTTTCAATGTCGAAGACTTTGGATGATATTGAGTTAGAGACTTAGCTACTTTAATACTTTGTGAAATACCTGCAATGGTCACTCCATTGCTTTCTGTTGTGTGAGAATTAAGTTCAGATCAAGATATATAGCTTTTCTCCCTTGCAAAATCATGGTTTGTTGACATTTTGCTACTGAACACAATCATATTTGGTCTAGTTATCTGGAAGAGCCTACTTTTACCTTTAACGTCTAATCAGTAATCTTTCTTATAGTATTACTAAACATGTTGTTCAGTCATATTGGCGCGCTGGCGTGGTTTGGATTCCCCGGTTGTAGGTGACAAGGAGTAGTGTAACCTCGTAGGTTTTGTCAGGTTCATCCGGTTTATTCACACTGCTAAAGATCCATATGCGCAAGCGAATTATTAAAATAAAATTGAACCATATGTTAGTCTCTCATTGGATAGCTGTATGACCTAGTTGTATAAACATGCTTAACAACGAAAAGATAAGGTGCCCCAGTGGCTCTGTGGCTCGGCGAGGAAGGCACTGGCTCGCTAAACCGGGGGTCCTGGGTTTGATCATTCTGTTGGCTGCGAAAGTTCCACGGTGCTAGATTACTTTGCAATTCCCGAACTTTTTCTCCCCATGCTGTAGATGCGTGAACGGTAGCGTCCAGTCTGAAGTTTTGACACCAAGACAATCAAATCAACTATAGCGACCTCCAGGAAAACCTTGACATTGAATGAACTTTGAACTTCGCAACTCAATTATCACGGGTGGACGTTTTAGCTGGAAAGCGCGAGAACTGTTATTCGGGATGATCGAGGAATCTGATAGGCTCTCAAGCTGGGTGAACACCCAATCGAATTTAGTGCCGAAATATGCAGGGATCTACGGAGTTAAATCGATATCAAGCCTTCTATTGAAGATGGATATAAATATGTAATAATATAAAACAAAATTGTATGCATAAACTGAACTCTAAATTTATTTGTACACTACGTACAGGTAATGGTGTCAAGTCAATGATTGGTAGTAGTGGCAGGGAGGTTTTAGTGGAACTAGACTGATAGATAAAGAACTACGCGTGATAGGAGAATAATGCATCACTAACACAAAAAGGCAAATGCAAATAAGACTAAATTAACGATTAACTACAGAAGGCAAAATCAAGAAAATGAAATAATAGGTCTTTCTTTTTATTTCCACGTTATATTTTGTTTTCGTTCACGTTTCAATCTTTTGGTTCTATGGGCCCAATTCAATCATTCCCTTTCGATCAACAGTAGAACTAGTTGTAGTTGTAGGCCTAGTGGTTGGCAATACCTGTAACGAATAGATTATTTTTAAATCACAACATAGAAATACCAAAATATGTTTTATATATATACTATGGGGATTTGCGGTTTTAACAATCCTAATTATTTGTGTTTACGTTATCACAGAAGCACATCGACACAACCAGCTTTGATGTGTTGAAAGGTACTATGGAACTGGTCACCATAGTACTTTAGGATTTTCAGATGAACATCATCGGTCTAATTTTAAGAGAATCAGGCTATATTTACTTGACTTCCCATTGACTTCCCATATCACACTCGCCCAAGACAGATAAAGGCTGGTGACAGTTATTGATGTTGAGGGCCAGGAGCTGTAATCGATTCTTTAGTACATATTACTGTTGTCACCTTTATCATAATCTGCTCAGCTTTGTGGGAGGTTAGGTGGCGTGCGCGTTAGACCTCAAGGTTTGTCTTTGAGTTCCGTGATCTCGATTCTCCGCTTGTACGTGCTAGAAGTAGCATCGTCTGTCCATCCTCATGGGTTTTCACCGAGTTCTCTCACTGCCAAAGTCTCCTACATATTATTGAAATACAACTGAACAATATGCTAGTCCTGAAATGACCCAGTTGTGTCGAGTCGACGTTAAACCCTATTTATATAGCAGCTTACCTTTTAGTTGCTATACTCAAACAATGCCTCTTCGACGAAAACCTTAACATTACCATTGCTAGGAACCAACAATATCTCTTTACTGAAGACTTTACCATTATTACTAACACAAATACCATACAAATAGATAAATCCAGGTATGATATGTTCTCTTACTGTGTCTATCTCTCTAGTACAGATAATTTCACCTGGGTTCACAAATGTAGCCTTGACAGGTATCTCGATAATATGAATTTGATTTGTCTAAAATGAGAATAAATGTTTGTATGAACGGTAATAATATACTAGTACCTTAAAACAGATTAGAGGGCACCACAGTAGCACAGTGAGTAAGACGTTGGCTCGCAACCTGGAGGTTCCGTGTTTGACCCCTGTTCAGTAGTGCAGGACAGCGAGCCTAGCAAGGGGCAACATATAGTCATTGCAATGAGATGACCACCGAGATCCAGTGACAGTTGGGAATCGATAGAAGAGTAGGTTAGCACCGCTGACCAGGCGCAATTTCCCTCATAGCACACTGTATGGCGTATGTTCCTCTTCATTGGCCCCATCGGAACAGATCAGTAGGACGTTAAATCGCAGATTAGGATGTCGTAGACAATTCCAGATATTAAAACCATCGATTTAAAAATAACACTTGACGGGGTTATCAACATTTGCCAAGTGGTGACATTAATACATACTACATCTAGTAGTTCGACACTTTATCTGATCGATTTGAAACTCAATCATGAAGACAGTTGAAAGCATATTTGACATTTGTATGTTCCCCAAGACGTTTGGGAGGCACATGCACATTCAGATGTTAAAACTACGCACATTAACTTCAAACCGTATATAATGCACTTAATTGTCTGCCTCCTAATTAGAAGCACTTGATTTACACGGTGTAAAAGTAATCTAAGATTAAATCTCGCTGTTGCTTGAGCTAATTCTTTTTAATTTACCCTTTAAGAACTAAATAACTTACCGAATAAATTTTAAATTTGCATACAAGTGTCTCTGACTTCACAAACTCACCACCAAAAAGGTGAACTTCATTACAGGGGTCATTTGTGGAATTACATTCGATAGAGTTAGATCCGAAATGTATCGTCGGTGGGGTATTGAGCCATACTGAACAATCCAGACTTCCATATCCTTCATCACAGGTACACACTCCTAATAAATTAAACCAAATCTGACATATATATAAATTGATTTTTTTTCTAATACCGAATACCGGAGTCAGATATTAAAAATTCCACAAAGGCTCGTGTAAGCCAAGGTGTATACGGGACATCTGTTTGTCATATTATCTGAACGACTATATGCTGTACCTTGCCAACCCCTTAGTCCCGTACCACTGTTGATGAACTTTCTCGGTCAAGACAGAGGTCGAACATGGGACCTCCAGGTTAGAGAGCCAACGTCTTACTTACTGAGCCACCGCGGCTCTTTCTCTGTTTAGTCAAACTACCCCAACACATTCATACATCTTAAATACAGAGTGGTTTACAACAGTCTGATATAGAGGGTCAATACACTTACAATTAATTGATACATGACTCTGAATCTCGATTGGGTCATCTGCATGACTAAAGAAACATTACAGGGTTCCATTGAACCTGCCAATAACGCAGCATATAACTGATATGCGAATTTAATTTCAATACATGATTATGCATTGAACACGTCCAGCATGTTTGAACATATACCGAAATTATATTGGCCCATATACATAAACCCAGCAAAACCGCCAAAGAGTTGGATGAACCGTTGGGCATGGTGATATCCGATCATATTATACGTGGGACATATAAAACAGTATTCCTTATCATTATTTCATATTAAATATATTGATATAATCTCACCTTGATTACAGCTACCATGCTGAGAACATTCTGTAGGACAGGCTACTTCTTTAATCTGATCAAAAATGGATGATTGGTTTGTTGTTGATTGTTGAAATCTGGTATCATAACTTACTTCATGAAAACATGAGGTTTTTACAGTTTCCACGGCAACCTGGGCGAAACTTGTGTCTCCCAACAGCTACAAGTAAAATAATCCATGGTTAGCCGTGTAAAGTGGTCGATACTCATATTTAACCCAAGACGCATAGTCTAGTTAATTTTAACAGAAGAAGTCTATCCTAGCCATTATTAATCCAACAGGAATAGATCGGTTAAGCCAGAAATATACTAAGCAGCAAAAGAAACGCCAGGTTGGTATGTTACTCTGAATAAACGCATTGCTTAAAACTTGCCAAATGTTTTTATTGTATATTTGTGACCACATCTCCAACTTAACCTGAGCAATAAGGCTCCTTCTCAAACACAAGGCGACAAGACCGCCATGTTGTACGACAGCACGTGCTGAATCCCTTCACACAGGAATCTGAGACAGCACGTCAGACAGTGGGAAAACACAGAAGACCAATCAGTACCGATACAGTGCGCCGTAGTCTCACTAGAGAGAACATCCATTGCCGTAAACCTTACTGTGGACCGATCCTCACCCCTCACCATCGAGGTGAACGTCTACAGTTTGCCCAACAACACCAGAACTGGCGACACAGACAATGGAGAACTGTTCTGTTCACAGATGAGAGTCGGTATTGCGTATCAACTGCAGGTGGCAGGACCAGTATATGGCAACGTGGCCAGCGTTATTCTGACCAATGTGTCATGGAACCAGACTCATGGGGAGGTCCAAGCATAATGGTTTGGGGTGGAATCGGCCTGAACCAGAGAGTGGGTCCTGTGGTGTTCCAAAATCTTGGTCTAGGGAGAGGAGGTGGCACCACAGCAGTGCGCTACATCGATCAAGCTCTCAGACCCCACGTCATTCCACATTTCGCATGTCATTGAAACAACGTTTTCCAGCAATACAACGCCTGTGCCCACACCGCCAGAGTTACTCGGGACTTCTGTATCTGCTACAAATCTATATGTATTCTGGATAAATCTAATGATTTTGTTTTATCACGCTAAACTGTTCATTCAGTAAAACGACATCGTAAAGCGGGCATGAAATTAAATACGCTAAAAGCTGGTGAATAGAGTATGCTCATGCATATAAATGGGAATGATTTTTTTAACGTCCTACTGTTCTGCTCCGAAACGGTAAATGAGAACGAGGCATGTAAATGGAATATAGTAACCGGTTGATGGAGATTATGATTATCTAACCCGACATGCAAAGTTTATAATGAAATATTTCATTTATTGTTATACCTGGTAACACTTAAGTTCGCGTCTGTTAAAAGAAGAAATGACGCCACAAGACAAAACAAATGGGAAATCTGTACAGTTTGTTGTACTAAAACGAATCATAGTACAGACTGAAAAAAGAACGTAACAGAACAACTTGCATATCCATGCCAAAGGTCTCGTGGAGTAGCTTGTGATGCATGGTGCCGGTTTAGATCAAGCATCTAGAAGAACAATCCCTACCTTGATATCGAGAACACAGTTGTCCAGAGGTCCCTGTATATCGGTAGCAACAGTATTGTTACAGATCTGAACAGCTGCCGACTTTTGAAATAAACTAGTACAGTAATCTGTAGCCGATCTCTCTGTCCATCCATTTCTCCATTCAGGAACAGCAACCTGAAAAAAATAATAATAAGTCAATCATGACCCCTGGGGTTTTGTGCAAAAAGGAAGATATTGAGCTGTGTGTGAAGGCAACGCTGCTGTATTTGTAATCCATTTATCTGGATTCCACGAATTGATTATAAATCGAACGAAAAGATATCAAGATGATCCACGATGACCACGACTCTCCTTATAAGTACCACTGGACACTGTGTCTCAAAACGTGACAAGGGGTAGTGTCGCCTGTCCAACCTCGTGGGGTTTTTTCCGGGTCCTCCGGTTTCCTTACACTGTTGAAATAAAATTAAACCATATGTTAGTCTCGAAATGACATAGTTTGTGTCGAGTGGACGTTAAACCCATCTCTCTCTCTCTCTCTCCCTCTCTCCCTCTCTCTCTCAAAAGGTGTGATTACGCCGCCATTAACCAAGAAAGTGGGAGACGAAAAAATGTCCTACTCGCTTGTCTGACCTGTCTTTCACGAGTGGCTTTTCTTGTACGTCTTCCAGGATACATACGTCTGCGATACCACCCTGGATGGAAGCCGGTGTAATGCTCGGATAAACCTATTTGAACCGTGAAGGATTTGAGAGCCTTTGAAACTCGCCGTAATTATAATCTAGAAATGCTTTAAATACCTGTCGCTTGCTGATGTGTACATGTTCTGGTCCTGCAGATCTTGGTACACGGTAACGGTTTCTTACCGATCGTTTTGCTATGTAAGTCACCTGACAACACTTTGTAGGTGTATACTTGTAGATTTCCCGGGGTTGGCATTTCTGTGAGTCCTTACATGAAATGCTTTCAGGGGTATTTTCATCGCACTTGCATAAAAACTGATTACGTCCAGCTCCCATTAGTTTTACAATTTCGTTGTCTTTAAACAGGTTTAGCAATGAGTCTTTAACCCTATAAATGGGATAAATAGCATAACGTGCCTATGGAATTATTTCTACATTGCTTCATTTGATTTCGCCTGCTTTATGCGTTATTAGTTTTTATATAAAAAGATTCCACTTTTTGGCGTAATAACGAATAAAAGAATGATGTGAGTGTTAACCTCTTGTCAGCAACAGGATTAAAATGTTTTGGTTTTTTTTTAATTTGTGGTTACGACTGCATCTGCTGAGGCCGCATATAGCTGGCATAGTATGCCCCTTCGAATTCATTCACGACAACTATTTTTAACTCAACAACTATGCACAAATGCTACTTTATTCTCAATAGTGTTCTATCGATAAGCTAAACGTCTATGGCCTTAAATAATGAACCTACCTCCAAGATGCTGAAAACTGTGGCATTCCAGACCATTTATAAGTTGAGACTGAATTATCCCGACCAATAAACGCATCGGTAGTAATCTGACCACCCAATCCTTGGACTTTACCCTTGTCAGCAACTGATGGATACACGTAAACATTCAGGACGTTCCCAGATGTCACGAGTTTAATAGTAGTAGAACTTGGCAGGTGAATCTGTCATTCATGAAAGTAAAAAATACTTAAGATACATCATAAATCGTTATTGATACATTATGTAAGATTTAGGTTAAAAGCTGACCATTCTTGGTATAATAGCTCAAAAATAGATAATGTAAAATAAAAATATTGGAAATTTCATTCATATTACTTCATTCTGAGCCAAATGATCACTGTTTATTGTTTTGACAAGATGTGTGCATTGTGGTAAACAGGGCACTGGTATATTCGAGAGTTAGTCTCGCCTTCCCATTTTTAAATTAAATTTTTAAATGGCGAACCGTTCAAATCTAGTGAAAATATTGAGAATCCGATGCCATCGAGATTTGATTATGTTCTTGTTTTGTTAATAAATGTCTAATAAATATTTTATATAACATTAAAGGCCTAAAGAAAGGCCCGTAAATAGGCATATGCACTTGCTTAATGATGTTTTACAGTGTGTTTGTTTGCAGATACTGCATTGATTAACAAACATAAACATGACTGGAATTAGATAGACCATTAATGGGTTTGTTTGCAGACAATACATTCGACATGATAAGTAACCATGGGGGTTGTTCCTCGCAAAATTACCAGTGTTACACGAGTAACAGATTCTCGAGGAGCCATTTTTTTAAACCACCAAGCTTTTTTCTTAATATAAAGAACTAGCTGATAAATTACTAAATAGACATTCTCACGTCGAGACTTTAAAAAATCAACGACAATAATGTTCAAATATAGCATTTGTAGGGTTGCCTCCCTTGCAAGAGAAAAATAGAGTCCCATTTAATGGGTTGTAAATCCACCCCACTGCCTTTACCTTATGTTGATTGCTGCCATGTTGTTGAACGTCAATTCGAAACGGTCCATCACATTGGGCGTATCCAGTTTTCCAAAATGAGTCTGAACAATGCTCCCTGTACAATCTGTACCTGTAATACGGTAAAATGACATTTTAACACTGAGAAAATGACATTTTAACACTGAGAAAATGACATAGTTTCTTTTGGTTTGGTTTGGCTCATATTCTTGAAGCAATGGCCCGAGAAATACCTATCTGGCCATTGCTGGATTAGCTTCTGATAATACCAGTGATTTAAGGTATTAAAAACGGTGAAAGTGTTGTTCGTCTCAAAACAATATTGTTTACATTATATCCACAGAGTAAAAATCGTGTTGACAGTTGATAGCCTTGTTTGTCACACAATTAGTTTTTCTGCAATATTCTGCTATGTACTGGTTAATTGGGCATAATAAAATCGTTAGTCATGACGTAACGTTATGTAAACATATTTGGTCCAATTTGGAGCTCTGTTCATGGTATTGTTACGCAGTAAGCTATTGGTTTTTAATCGGACTAATGACCAGTCATAATTTAGAACAAGAATTAGCTTTGTTTACAGCAGTGAGTAGTGGGATTAGCTCTCATCAAACGAAACACTGCGAGGAGTATTGGTTTGGATAAGAAATAGATTAACCCTGTAAGGTAATCGTCCTCGAATACATACTAAAGAGAGTGATGCTCAAATTTAAATCAGTCTAGTTGGGATTCGATTGATAGTATTTAGAATAATGGCTGCAGGATACAAACGTTTTATTTTATAGAATGTGTTTTTCTTTCACATCAATATAAAAAGTTGAATATGAATTAATACTATTTCGATTAATAGTGGAACAACTATATCGGATTGATAGTAATAATAAACAGTATAGAACGGGTTGTTGTTAATAATAATAAACAGTTAAGAATGGTTGCCGTTGGTTTCACAAGGATGGCGTCATCGCCATCACTAACATACACTGTAGGTGTGAAGATCTAAAGAAAGTTTCAATGAAATGAAATAGGGTTTAATGTCCTACTGTTCTGCTCCGAACTGGGCTAATGAAGACGGGGATACGCCATACAGTGTGATATGAGGGAAATTTGCCCGGACAGCGGCATTACGACCTACTCTTATATCGAATCTCAACTGTCAAGGATTCGTTTACGTGCACGCCGATGTGTACACGGGTCATCGGTTTTTCGTCTCATCCAAACGACTAGACAGCTGTTCTTGTTTGTCAGGACCTCTGTCCTGCATCACTGACAAGGGGGAACCACGCCGGAAAATCTGGATGAACTTTCTCGGCCAATGCAGGGATCGAACACCCGACCGCCAGGCTAGCTAGCCAGCGTCTTACCCATTTAGCCACCGTGATCCCCAGAAAGTTTCAATAGATATACTGATACGAAAGAATGTGTGTCATGTGGTAATTGTGTCGTAGGTAATTAATAGAGAAGTATGATTCGGAGGGACTTTAGTGGGGGATATCTTTTAACGTTGCCATACAAATCAATCTGATTATAATATAGATCTATATTACGTTTCGTTTTTTTATACTTTCGATGGCCTACACTACATGAAGATCTGACAAGTTATAATGGCAGTTCGCGTCAGAGGTCAAGCAACCGGCTTTTGACCTATGGCGTCAGGCATTGATTAATCAATCAGCGTTGACGTTTCTAATGGTTTACCCACAGTTCCGTGCATTAAAAGGCCAAAAGTCGCCGTCACAGACCGTTTCGTTGGCTAATGCATCACATCATTCAGAACACGTCAATGATAACAGCTCCTCCAGATCCTACTGTACTAAAGACAAGTAAAATGAAAGTTTGAACTATAAAAACGAAACGAAATAGGATCTGTGTTTTAATCAGATTGCATGCAAATTAGACTTTTTGCAAACGGAATTGTCCCCATCACGTTCCGTCAATGTAGTTTTAGAGTTTGGGCAGAGCTGATCCTAGTTCTATACAGCATGATGGCAGATAGCTACCAAGATCACCATCATTACTAGCCAAGTGCTTAGCCAACAATTTCCCGGAGGCAGTAAAGTCGCTCGACAGTCGCTGAGCTACTAAAAAACAATTCAATGTCGAATCTTATTAAAAAAATATTCGACTTCAACTCGACAGCAATATTTTGGTTTCACGAATGTATCATTTCAGAAAGTTTATACACCTTTATCATAGAATAAAATTATTTACAGATTTGCGAAACCCCCTCCCTAAATTCAGCATGTAGATGAACCAGCATGCAGACAGGCATGAAAAGTATGAAAAGACCGAGAAAAACCCGTCAAAAATATTGATTGCATTCCAGTCTTTATCATGGTTAAAATCACATCAAATGACCCTCGTGTTCTAGGATACACGACACAACAATTCAGCGTCTAAAAGTAGCACAAAAAGACGGCAACGTTATACGGATCTTTTCCGTATGAAAGTTGTTCGATACGTGCTGCCATATCACGTTTGAGAAATACACACTTTTTCAGTCTAATTTTTATTGATGTTTAAATGGTTATAACTTGTTAAATACTATAGAACTGCTTGTTTAGTGACTATAAATATGAAAAAGTAAGTTAAGCCTTGTTACATATATACATATTGTGGTATTGTAAGTGTCGACATAAGTGGAGATATTTATTTATGGCGGGACATCCCATCATTTGGCTTTCATTTTTGGTGCGCAAATGTAAATTTATTTCTGAACAATTAGCGCTTATAAAAAATTAAGGCCTGATGCTTTTATTCAAATAGATTAACAAGTCTGACAAGGTTCCATTTCTTGTGCGTAACCAACACATGTCGCGCCGTTACATTCAGCCTCGGGTGATCCACAGATTCGGTATCTAGTCTTGTAGTAATTTCTGCAATTGCTCCATTGTGTCCATGATGACCATTGTCCATCAACATCTTGTGCAGCATCTGGACCACAATCAAGGGTTCCATTCCTACATTCGCATTTTATGCAGTTTTCAGAATAAACAGATTGACCATTTGAAAGTTCAGTACCATTTTCGAGAACACATGGACAAGGTTCCGTTTCTTTTGCGTAACCAACACATGTCGCGCCGTTACATTCAGCCTCGGGTGATCCACAGATTCGGTATCTGGTCTTGCTGTAAGTTCTGCAGTCCTTGGAGCAATTGCTCCATTGTGTCCATGTTGACCAATGTCCATCAACATCTTGTGCAGCATCTGGACCACAATCAAGGGCTCCATTCCTACATTCGCATTTTGTGCAGTTTTCAGAAATAGATTGACCATTTGGAAGTTCAGTACCATTTTCGAGAACACAACCTGACAATTACAAATAAAACACATTCTATATTTTATTAGATAAATACGATATTTAATAGATCATTAAATACATTCATGGCCAATAGTTTATCATCTAAAATGGTATCGGGGACAGTTTATATATAAAAACATTTCAAAATAAAAATCACATAAACCAATGCCGCTTTAGTATAACAATAGTAATTGTCGAATGTATTTCTTGTTCTTAAGAGTTGGTATTTTTTTTTTTTTTTTTTTTAAACAACATAGTTATTTTTTCAAATGAAGTCACAAATTGATTTACACAAAATAGGCAAATTTTTTTTATATATGTAGCGTCAGCATGTTTTTTTTATAATTATTAATGTTATACAAACATACATCAATGTCGATTTATATTTGTAAAAGTAAATAAGTCATTATACAATAGAAATATTATTTAAATATACTTGTATTCCTCTTTCACATACATGAGCTCTTTCTCCTTGTTTTTGATATTGGCGAATGTCGAAAAACGAGCTACTCGTTGTTTTTCCTTATTCACCAATATCGAAAAACGAAAATCGAGCCAACTTCACACTGACAGGTTTTATAAGGTTCGATGTTCACAGATAGTATAATCCTAATTGAATGACGTGTTGCATTCTACATATTTCCATTTATTTAGGGTATAGATACTTGGTTTAAATACTTTCAATTCTAATGAGATATTACTCATTAAAAAGGCATTATAGTGACGGCTTAATGCTTTCTAATTTAGATTTAAAATATATAGTATTTGGTTAAGAATATTAAATAGTTTGTAAAGTCCCATTCGTATAAATTATTGAAACTTGTATTTTCTAGGTACCCAAAATGGATATTTTTATTTGTCAATGTTATATTTATGTTACTTTTAAGGGAAATTTCTAGCGTTTCGCTCCAGACTTGTTGGGCATAGCTGCGGAAAATGAATAAGTGGTTTACCGTTTCAATATCGGATTGACAGAAGGTGCAGAGTAATGCGTTTGTATATATTATTTTATGGATATACTGTATTTGTATTGGAAGTTTTGAAGTTTGCTGTCTATACTTATATTATGTGATTTCTAATTCCTGTTTCAATTTACCTATAGCCAATGGTCTTTCATAGGTTAAGCTGATCAGCGCGGAATATACTTGTTTAGCAGTGATCGATGTTAAGTTATGCTTATGTTATAGTGTGTCTTTCTATATATTTTATTACTATTTAATTCTAGTCAAAATAGCAATTGCCCAATGTCCGAATTGCTATCTCTTTAATGTTTCGGGTCTTTTACCTGTTTGGGTTTATACTTAATGTAGCGATATAATATTACGTAATTGTAGTTAACATGTGTTCTTGCTATGTCCATATCTTATGCTATATTTAGACATCTGTTTCCTATGTACAATTTAACATTAATTCTTGTCAAATATTATTATATAATTATTTTAATCCTACGCTTGTATATATGTTCCATATTCTACGGTAACTTTATTCTAGTGACCGGCTCGCCCTAGCGGTACCTAGCTATTACCGTTATTGTGACTGTTAGCCAGCTTTGGACACATCAGATGTCACCGTTTCATGTGATGGGACATGGCAGAAGAGAGGCTTTTCTTCGAAAAATGGTATTGCTACAGTGTTAACCGTTGACCCCAACGGAGCTGGGTGTAGAGTGGTTGATACCGAAGTGTTGAGCAATTACTGCAATATTTGTGCTTCAATGAAACACAAACTTAGTGAAGAAGATTTAAAGAAATGGACCGAAGAACACAAAAGTATGGGGCTATGTTTAAAAAACCATAGCGGGTCAGCTGGTGCAATGGAGCCAGCTGGAATGGATAAGATATTCAGACGATCCCAAAAACTCCGGAAGCTGAGATACACAGGGTATCTTGGAGATGGAGATTCCAAATCCTATAACGCTGTAGCCAACGCTGATCCTCCCATTTACAACAATGCTTCAATCGAGAAACTGGAATGTTGTGGCCATATTCAGAAACGAATGGGAAAAAGACTCATGGACAAAGTGACCCAGTGCAGAAGTAAAACATATAAGGAAAATGGTAAAACTTATAAAGGTATTGGTGGCCAAGGTCGACTCACCCAGAAGGCTATACAGAGGATACAGAGACACTATGGCGCTGCCATAAGAATTCACCCTGGAAATGTTGCAGCAATGAAACGAGCAGTGATGACGATATGGAAGCACAGGGCAAAAGATCACTTGGACTGTGAAGATTGGTGCCCATCAAAATCCGGTAAAGGTGATAAAGACCAGCATGCATTACCAAAATTTGTGTGCGATGAAATTAAACCTATTTTTGAGGCATTGAGTTCTGACAAATTATTAGAAAAATGTGCTCATGGAGGAACTCAGAATACACACGAGCGATGCCCAAAAACTACTTTCGTGGGTCGGAGACGGTTGGAGTTGGCCGTCCATGATGCAACGATAGCATTCAATGAAGGCGAACTAGCCAGACTAACAATATTTGTTGTATTAAAGCTAAGTGCAGGAAGGCATCTAAAAGCAGGTTTGAACCTGCTAGATCAGAAAAGACTAAAAAATGCGTATGTGCCTGGCCAAAACTCAACCCTGAAAGCTAGACGTGTTCGAGCCCAACAATCAAAAGCCCAGCAAAATGACCCAAATTATTCATCTGGACAATATTAGAACATTTATAATGTGTAAATATAGATTAATATAGTGTATACTCTAATTTGAACAATGAAAAACTTTTTATTTTTTTAGAATTTACTAGTAATACCACAAAAATATGTTTAACCTTGTTTTTCTCAAAATATAGATTTTAGGCCTGAAAGGCCGAGTGGATGTCAAAATATCTCAGCAACCAATAATGCTACAATGTTGTAATTTTGCATGTATATTCCATACACCATAATGATCATTTTGTTCTAAAGAATAGTCTGTAGCTTATATATTTTTGTAGTGGTGGTTGTTTAGATTGTGATATTGGCAGCATGAAAATGTCAATTTTCACCAAAATTTGTCTTTTCTTGTTAGAAACAAAGAAAAAAGATTTACACACTTCATCTTAGTTCAGATTGGTCATATATACCCTATTTAATCACTAGCAAAATTTGGTAAAGATATCTCATCAATTAGCTGTGAAAAATTGACATTCATTTTGTGTAATTTTGTGTTTCTCTGTTGTTGTCGGCCATTTTGTAATTAACATAATTATGCATAAATTAACTAATTTGCATAATAAAATATATTTTTTTTGTAAAATTAAGACATGGTCTTTCATTTAATACCACACTTAGTTTTCTAGAGCTATTAGCTATCTTTCTAGCCAGTGTCAAATTCAGGGGTCAAAAACTGGAATTTCAGCCTAGAGCATTGCCTTAAAAGTACAATTTTAACTATTTATCTGAGTTATCGTCGTTAGTGTTGGAATAATCTACGGCCCCCAGAAACAGCACTTCGGCACTTATACCAAGATATTAGATTTATGTTTATTTCTTCTAAATTTTAGTGTATCGTTGGGTGGGGTAGTACAGCTTACGATGCACTTTTTATATATTTTTTACAATAGTCGCCAGTTACCTGTTCATTTAAATTATTTTCAATAAAATCATGTATAGAAAACGTATTTTTATTTTTAATTTTCTTTCTAAAAATATTATTATATAATCCTATATATCTATTATTCCAGAAAATTTGGGATTCATCGGGTGTATCAACTTATCAACATGTTTTAATATATATAGCGTACCAATTTTGAAATAATTCTTGATAAAAGAGAGTTAAATTTTTAAGTTTAGGGTCATAGTTGTACTCCGGTAGTAAATCGTCCCGATACATGTCAAGAATAAAATTATATTTTTTTTATACGTCTGTGTTACATTAGTAAAAATTTTCTTTATCCAAAAAAATGCTGCGAGCTATCATCATTTCATTCAAATTTATCAAATTTAATCCCCCCATATTCTTCATTTGACTGATTACATTTCGTTTGAGTTTATCTGGTCCGTTCCATAAAACACAAATATCTTAATATGAAATCTTTTAATTACATTCTCTTGTATTGTTAAATCTAACGCTGGATACAGTATTTTTGATAGACAGAAAGTTTTGATTATTTGAATCTTGCCGATTAATGTAAGTTTTCTTTTTTTCAAAGTATTTAATATTTTATCTATCGCAATCAACCTATTTTTGAATATTTGGAGAAAACTATACCTAAGATTTTTATATTCGAATTTTGAAAAACAAAACCAAACTTATTTATTTCAGATGATAGATTAAGTTTTCCGCAACTTAGATCATTGGCTTCAGTCTTTATAACATAAATTTCTAATCCCGAGACTTTACTAAATTTTTTAAGTACTTCATATAAATGTCTAGCTGATTTATAATCTTTTAAAAAACATACCAGTTAGTTTTAATGTTTCCTGACCAATGTCAACCCCTTTATTATTAAAATCTTTTCTTATAAATTTACACAGGGTTCCAATTACAAGATTGAACAAGAATTGCAATGCAGTAATGGCGGGTTTCACCGGTGCCACGTTACTCTTGAACTTAAGTCACTTCCGGTGCCATGTTACCCTTCACTTATGTCACATCTGGTGCCAATGAAACCGTTAAACAGATTTTCAAATAAGCATTGCACACGTGTTATAAAATAGAAGCAGAATCAACCAAATCCATCAATATCAATTCGATTGATACATTTGTTACCATGTGTTACACATATCAAAAAGGTGATCCTGACAAAATTTGTTACTAACTTAGCTGACTTTCTAATGGAAATTTCTCGACAAGTGAAGATACTAGAAGCAATTTTTAGAGATCTATATGATCGTATTGATCCAATCTATATGTCAATCGGAATCAAATATCATAAACGAATAATCAATATAACTCACTTAAATAAAAAAACATTTGTTTTGAAGGCTAAAAAAACAGGGTTTTTTTCCAAAATGACATTACTTCCGGTGATAATGAACATGTTAAATTAGTTCTATGAAATTATAAATGGCATAAGGCATCACATGGTGCAAATTTTATGAAAATCGAATAATAATTGACACCTTCATAGGCCAAAGGGATCGTATGAATTTAAATAATATGTTAATTTAATCCAAAAGTTAAAATTATTAATACATATTAAATAATTCTTGGTTGAAAGAAATATTGATTTTAAAAGTTTAAAATGTAGTTTTTGACAAAATGGCGTTACTTCCGGTGTCAATTTTAAATTGTAATCAATTTTATATGACGCATATTTGCTTTTTGAATCAATTGGTGACAACTTTATGAACAGCCACTATTAATTGACTATTTTACAAGCAACTTGTGGAAAATTACCTATTTCTAGGCAACTACTTATATTACAAACTAATTTTAAAATACAATTTCTTCGTATGGATTATAGCTATAAGTTTATAAAAATTACGAAGAAATATTTGAAAATTTGAAAAACATGTAAATAGCTCAATTTTACATCTTTTTTCACCTCTTAATCGAATTTGCCCGAAAATGAAATCGACATTAAAAAAACTGAGCTCACAGTTTTGTGCGCTTTTAAAGGACACACTCTTTTAGTTATATCAGTTGTTTTTTTAAAAAATGACGAGATGCACTGGTACCACGTTATCCTTGAACCGACCTGACTTTCCGTACCAATGAAAACGTTAAAAGATTTCAACCTGCGCATTGCACACGTGTAATAAAATGGACGTAGAATTAGCCAATAAAGTCAGCAATATCAATTCCATCTATGGAACGAAGACTCGACACAATGGCATCACTTCCGTTATCAACAAACTATTTTATAGATTACAGAAATAACCACTTCGATTGCCCTTTGCGTGACAGAAAATTCATTGAAAAAGAATCAACACTTTATAAAACTTTATTAATATGCGAAAAATCTTAAAAAGTGATCCTGATACAATTGGTTAGTTCTCGTCAAGGGAAGATGTTAGAAACACTTTTGTGATATCTATATGATCGTATTGATTCATACTATTTGTCCATTGAAATGAAATATTATAATTTTATACGAATAATGAATGTCGGTTACTTCAAACAAATATTTGTTTTGGAGGCTAATAATGCAGTTTTTTGCCAAAATTACATTACTTCCGGTGATTATGAAAATGTTAATTAGTTATGTGAAATCGTAAATTTTATAGACCAAAAAGCTTGAAAAGTGACTTGTAGAAAGTTGTCTATTTCTCCGCAAAATGAACAAGTTAGAAACGATTTTGTGATATCTATACTTTTTATTTATCTGTTTTATTTAAACCGAAAGTTAAAATTTTCAGAACGTAGCGAACATTGAAAACGATATTGATTTCAAAGGATAGAAATATAGTTTTTGACAAATTGTCGTCACTTCCGGTGTCAATTTTAAATTGTAATCATGTTGATATAACACATATTTGCTTTATGCATCAAATGGTATCACTGTTATGGAAATCCATTAATAATTGACTCTTTTACATGTAAAATAACGTGATAAGTGACTTATGCAAAATTGGCTATTTCTCGGCAACTGCTCATATTACAAACTAATTTTCACACACATTGTCTTCTTGTGGATTTATGCTTCATGAAAGTTGCGAAGAAATATTTTAAAAATATGAAAAGCTTTTTTTGATATCTACATGATCGTTTTGATCCAATCTATATGTCCATTGGAATCAAATAACATAATTGCAAAACAAATAATAAATATAACTCATTAAAAGAAAATATTTCTCATGGAGGCTAAAAATGACAATACTTCCGGTGTTAAATGTTAAATTAGTTCTATAAAATCATAAAGAGCATAAGGCATCAAGTGGTGAAAATTTTATGAAAATTGACAAATATCGGCCAGCTTTAAATGCAAAATTGTAGTAGATTCATTGCATATAGGCCTAGTTATTGTCTGATTTGAAAATAATATTCTATTTATGCATTCCAACCTCGTGGGTTTTCTCTGGGTCCTCCGGTTTCCTCCCACTGCTAAAGACCCCTAAGCGCAAGCGAATTATGGAAATAAAATTAAACAATGTTAGTTCCAAAATGACCTAGTTTGTGTCGAGTGGACGTTAAACCCCATTTCTCTCTCTCTCTCTCTCTCTCTCTCTCTCTCTCTCTATTTGTGTCCCTTCTTTGTACCGTGTTGCTATGACGTCATAGTCATTGTTGTATGAACTAAATGTTGTTTACCTGAAGATCTTAATAAAGTAATTGAAAGTGCTAGTAATCAACAAATAATGGAGTTCTTTTTTCAAAAACTTTTATATTTTTGTGTATTTAATACCTAAGAGTAGTTATTTTTAACTTTTCATATATTATATACGCTCTTATGGCTGGAAAAGGAACTAAACAACAAATTGAGGAGTTAAGCAAAGTTGTCAACGACTTAGCAGGGAAAGATAGCATACTAACTGTCAAACAAGATCAAAAATTCTCCTTGGTGTAAGATGTGTTCACATGCCTAGAAAGCCCTACACGTGAGAGGAATGTTTATACCATAGTCGATAAATTGGACGACGTAATAAAACAAATCCGTCCAACAGCCCACTTGACAACGGAGACAGAACCAGTAACTCCAGGAAACCACCGTTTAGAGTTGGAAGAAGTAGACGCGATAAAGCTTAAGATCAAAAAATCTGGAACATTAAAAAACTAGACCCGAAAAGATGGTTTGCCAAACATCACCATACAAAAACTCAGCCAACATCTATGAAGAATGGGTTAATAGGGACAATCCACTGCTTCCCGTAAAAATCCGAATAAAACCTGTGCCTGGTCAATCGGAAGACATAATCCAACTTCGGTATAAACTTGCAGTGTACTTAATACACGGATCGGGTCCATGAAGATCAATGCGGAAACATTTGGAAATAAATTTCAAACGGTGGACCAAGAAATGACTGAGCTTTTCTGTGAAACTGCTCTTAATGAACATATGTTAGAACTGTTAAACAATGAATAGAGAAAAGGTTGTTTAGCATCAGAAACATCGGCAATAAAAGAGTGGAGTAAAAAGCAGGAGTGGCTTGAAGGTTACGAGACAAAATATGGGAATGATAAATTTAAGCTTCCCAAAAATTTGTCTGAAGATCAAATATATAAACCTACAAATGGACCACGACCTGATCAAAAACGCTAACTATCCAAAAACGAGAGAGGTAGAATACATAAAGGAAAATGATCATTTTTTAGATCGAGGCCGGAGAATGAAAACTCGATACAAATACTAAAAAAGGATAAAAAAAAATGATCCAACTGTCGTCAATTTAAGTAGTGTCACGTTAAACAACATCGAAATTTCATTACTCAATAAAGGCTTAAAGCACATATATACACATGTACTTTAATCGGAGCTGTCACAATTTTGTAGTAAATTGAGATTCCAACATCATTCCCATAAAGACGACCCCAATTTAGATGAATCAAGGCAATCAACAAATAATATATATAATATTATTTGGGGAGAGGGGTGTACATAGGCTAAGCCTGTTCTCCCGTCTTCAGTAGCCCAGTCGGAGCAGAACAGTAGGACGATAATCCCCATTTCGTTTCATTTCATTTTTAAACAATAAAAAAACATTTGCCATTTGTTTTTCTTTATCAAACACAACAATCATCGGCAATTTGCAACTAGTTCTTGCGCACCGCCCTGAAGACAGCACTCTGCTGAGCTCAGAAGAAGTCTTTGCCTTCCTAACCTAGTTGGTGTTCTATGGGACCTCTCAAACTACGCACACAAGTAAAATATTGAAATAATGATGTGCCATTGCTTAGTCCCTAAATAACTTAACGTGTGAAAAATGGGTGCAATATCTCTTCACATATCAGTTTGTTTGGCATTATTCCACGTGTTAAAGCCACAACTTTTCAGGACTTTATACCAATATCGGGGAACCCTTTTAGATAACTTTTTAAACTCTAAAGTGATAGTGGCTCTACTCACCCATGGAACTTCCTAATTTTATCACCGCTACCATAAGCAGAAATACTGCAATACGCATATTCATCTTGACGGTAGACCAGTACAGTAGCTCACCGTATTGCGATATGCGTGTATTTGATCACCGAGGGACCTTTATATACCACGAGACTGATTTGTGTTTTTATCGACCTATTTCAAATTGAATAGCCAGTAAAAATTCGGTATCGAGTTCAAAAAATGGGAGGGAACGCGCATTATCATATTTACATGATAATACACAAAGATCTAGATATAATAATAATCGTAAACAAGCATGTTTAAAGATCATAATTATACAGCAACATCAATCAATGGGATAAAACGATGAGTACTGTTGACTAGAATCAGGTCGAGCGCAAAAAGTACTTCGTGATGGTTTATATCATGTTCCAACTTGTCAGAGTGTGGCATATAGGTGCGCGTAAATGTGTCCTTTACACTTAAAGTCGCTAAGCTAACTCAATATCATCCAAAGTCTTCGATATTGAAAACATGATTTATTTATCAATTTAAATACCATTGGTACACGAATCGTGTATCATAATGCGTTTCAGGGACTCCACGAACGAGGCTAGACATATTCCACAAGTCATGTCAAACTATTAACGATTTAGTTCCATAAAGGAAGGCGGACACGCCGTTATCCAACCATTTTCTTCTCATGTGAAAAGAAACAATAACAGTCTGGGGATATTAGCCGTCAAGGTCTTAGCCCACTCGGCAGATTCCGTTACTCTACATCTAGCGGCACCGGTTTACTTATTAGGAAAACTTGTCGCTTTTAAAAAGAAGTTATAAAAATTGCGTCGTTCGAAGCGGGTTTAGAATTTTCAGTGAAAAGTTGTCCTTGTTTAAAGAAAATTGGATAAACTTGAAAGAAAAAAATATTTGTATGATAAAACATTCTTCAAAGGCGTCGTCATGGGCAACGCCATTGGTAATCCGGAAAATTGAAGGTAGTTCCAATGGCGGACTTCGTCATACAGCCGAGGCTAGATGTAGGGTACTGGAATCTGCTGAGGTTTGCCGAGTGGGTCTTAGCCGTCAAGATCTTTAATAAACAGTAACGACTGCAGCAGACGACCACCATTATTTAATTATGTTTGAAGGATAGGAAACCTCTAAAAGAATCAATAATTTTATGTACATTTAACTTATTTTATAACAACATCAAGCCATCACACTGGGGGACCACGTGGCTAAGTGGGTAAGACGCTAGCTCGCTAGCCTGGAGGTCGGGTGTTCGATCCCTGCATTGGCCGAGAAAATTCATCCAGATTTTCCGGCGTGGTTCTCCCTTGTCAGTGATGCAGGACGGGGGGGCTGACAAGGAAAGCTGTCTAGTCGTTCGGATGGGACGAAAAACCGAGGTCCCGTGTACACATTGGCGTGCACGTAAAAGATCCCTTGGCAGTTGGAATTCGATATAAGAGTAGGCCGTAGTGCCGCTGTCCGGGCAAAATTTCCCTCATAGCACACTGTATGGCGTATGCCCGTCTTCATTAGCCCAGGTTAGGAGCAGAACAGTAGGACGTTAAACTCCATTTCATTTCATTTCATTTCATTTCCATCACACTGATTAATCCGAGCATAAACTGCTCATTATCGGACTTAAGTCGAGCTGTATACGAAGTTCCACCACGGTCAAAGTTATTTTGTTCCAAATTCCAGACTCCTACAATTGCTTATCTTTGCTTAACCCCAGCAGAAAAATACTTATATTATGGAACTAGGTTCAGATATTGATATAATGAAACTACACACTATCAACGTTTGAATCAACGTTATAGTACTCTAAAGATTCGGCAAATCTTAACCTAACAGGAATTTATAACCAATGTTGTTCATTTATTATAAGCACATTCATTTTGTTCCCAAACGTGTATGAATGCATTTTAATGTCCGCTGGTTTCTCCGAAAGGTGAAGCGACGATAAAAATGGACCACATTTATTACTCCGTATAAACATTTATGAATACAGCTTACCTCGTAATGTTACGATTAATCTTTTTCCATGCACAAAGAGATTACGGTAGGTTTAGAGTATTGTACGCTAACTCTGAAACACCATAATCATAAGACTATCATCTATGAGCAGCGCAAACAGGCGGTGTCGATTATCAGTAGTAAAGGCTTTATTGGCGTGTCCCGAAGACGGTAAATCATATTGGTGGGTGTCTTACAGTGTTGACATCGCGGTAAACCGACTACGCAATCAACAATGTTACAAAGGATTCCTATGTACTTTTGACTAGCTACGTAGAGTTAGCTTGTAGTTCGTCCGTTATAGAAAATATAATACAAAAGATATAGCGTGACAAATTAAATACCATACCACAACGATTTACTATTAATAGAAAGGGAAAAATATACAAAATCTGTTTAAAATATTAAATACAGAATATATGCGCGTTTGAATTCACAAACATAACACATATTAAATGTGTAAGCTTATAATATGGAGATACACTTAGTGTATTAATAAGATATAGAAATGAAATGAAATGAAATGGGTTTTAACATCCTACTGTTCTGATCCGAACTGGGCTAATGAAGACGGGCATACGCCATACAGTGTGCTATGAGGGAAATTTGGCCCGGACAGCGGCACTACGGCCTACGCTTATATCGAATTCCAACTGTCAAGGGATCTTTTACGTGCATGCCAATGTGTACACGGGACCTCGGTTTTTCGTCACATCCGATCGACTAGAAAGCTGTCCGTATGTGAACGCCGCCAAACGAGGTCATTTGCTCTATACTATCATACTGTGGACTTGACACTTATTGTGGTCTTTAATCTGTAAATAAAAAATGGTTTTGTTCCGCACCCAACCCCCCTTGTACCACACATGGGACAAAATACAATATAATTGTTTCAAATTGATGTATGGCACAATATCGCGATAGAACAGTTATTATTAATGTGATCAACCGAGGACGCATATTATGTTTTAATACCGACAATTGGGGACTTTGTGTATGGTGAACACCAACAACCGAGTACACACACACTCATATCCGAGGACGTTACAAGTGTATATCAATAATATAAATTGAGTGGGTTCAACACTCTATATCCGAGAACAGACCCCCTTTGACACAGGAGCAGCCCACTGAAAGATTCGTCCACTTAAAACTTTTAATTTTCTAAACCAATCTGACTGAGGAAGAACAGACGATATGTGAACAATCGAGGACTTGTGGACTTGACCCTCATTGTGGTATTTAACCTTTAAATTACTACGTTTTGCCCCCCCCCACCACTAATGGGAAGAGCGACAATGTAACCGTTTATAATTGATGTGCGGTGCAATATCGCGATAGAACAGTTATTTATTAATGTGACAAACCGAGGACGGACATTATGTTTTAATAGCGACAAATGGGGACTTTGTGTATGGTGAAAACCAACAACCGACTACACACACACTCACATCCGAGGACGTTACAAGTGTATATCAATAATATAAATTGGATAGGTTCAACATTCTATATCCAAGAACAGGCCCCATTTGACTACAGGAGTAGGTCACTGAAAGAATCTCTTTTTTTATTGATTCAGCCACTTAAACTTCTAATTTTCGAAACCAATATAAGTGAGGTCTTACAGTCTGTATGTGAACAATCGATGACTCGCACACGATCGAATACATGGGAAAAATTATTTCTGGTATTCCGGATCTCCAACAAGTGATCCCAAAATTAATATTCCGGCAGCATATTCCGGTAATTTATCATCAACAGAATCATTAACATTATCATAGTAATCATCTGTTTGCAATGGGCTGAAAACGATTGGAAAGGTAGAAGAATTTGAGACCGCACAAACTCTGTAATGATAGTTTTTGTAATATTACTTATAATCATGATTACCCCAATATGTATCTTGAAATGTCAGATTAGTGTCTTGAAATTTGGTGTCCTGTGTAGCACCATGGGTCTTTCTGTCAGACGTGGAAAGCGGCAAAATACTAATACCGGTCGCCATATCCTACGTATGACCCATGGATTTTTCTTAGTAGTCTTGTGATCGTCTAGAATTTTCACTTTGCTTCTCCTTCACGTTGTGTATTTTCTTCTTATCTAAATAGTTAAGACGTCTGTTTTCTCAGTAGTTAAGATGTTTGTCTTACTAGGAATGACAATGCAACTGTTCGTTTTTACATTTTATATATCATAGCTGGATACATAAATACAAACATAGTAGATTACAATACTAAAGTCATTCACTCAAACCCTAGCTGCTGATAGAAATTAATACATCTTTTCCCTTCCAGAATCTGTTGTCTCTCGAATTCTCACAAATATGATAGTTTTGTAGCTTCGGGCCCTGACGCTCAATTATCTAATTGGTCAAATATGATGTAAATAATTATGGAGATTGGTCAATTATCCTAATGACGTCGATACCCTCCCTTATATGGACAGTTGAAACTTACCGGAGAAATTTCCCACAAGATATGCTATCAACACAGAATTGAATTTTTACCACATTATGACTCTTTTTTATGTAACAATATGTCACTCATTCACTCATTTTGATTTAAGTAGCTACATATATGTGAATCCAATAATTTGCCAAAGATATTAATTAATTCAGTGCTACTAATTTAAAGAGCACAAATTCTACAAAAGTCCTACGCCGTGTGTCTTGTAAATTCAAGTTAATATCTTGAAAATTCAAGTTAATATCTTGAATATTGTTAATATCTTGAAAATTCAAGTTAATATCTTGAATATTCAAGTTAATATCTTGAAAATTCAAGTTATTATCTTGAAAATTCAAGTCAGTACCTTAAAAATTCAAGTTAGTGCCTTGAAAATTCGAGTTGGCATCTTGCAAATTCACGATGGCATCTTGAAAAGTTATGTAAATTCATGTAAGTAGCTTGAAATGCATCTTGAAAAGTCAAGATGATATCTTGAAAAGTCAAGATGATATCTTGAAAAGTCAAGTTAATATCTTGAAATTTCAAGGTAATATCTTAAAATATAAGATATTAGCTTAACCATTTATGATATTAACTTGAACTTTTACACTACTAACATTTTTAAATACCAACTTCTCCCGAAAGTATTTATAGGGTAGTTATTTCCAATAAAAG